AGATCCACCAAACACCGTCTTCGGGTTTGACTCCACATCACATCCTTCACGTGGTTCATCTAGCGTACCCGATTTACAGCAAATAAGTCCTCGGAAGCACTATTCACTTGAGTCAATGACATTGCATTTAGGCCCCTGACTTACGTCGAATTCTAGTAAACAGTCCCTGACGGGATTAGGAAGCAGAGGAGGCACCGAGGCTCGTCGGTGTGGTCGAGGGGGGCTCTCTTGGCGATGGTGGAGCTGGCAATGAGCACCGGAAACCCGTGGCCGACGCTTGGCGACGCTCGGGCCTCACTCATGCCAGTCTCACCCGCCCGGCAGCGGACCACGCCTCTCCATAAAGGCCAACAAGTGTCATGGCGCGACCTTTGTTGGTGGTAGAAGTTGCACGCACCGTGCACCGGCAGCTCTGGAGACGGCGCACTGGCCCGAGGAGGCAGAGGGGATGAGGCGGAGATGGTGGCTGCAATGGAGGAGGGAGGAGGAGAGGAGAGAAACATCAAGAAGAAGCGGCGTCTTGCCCACTCGGCCATGGTATACTGGGGAGGAGAGGCAGAGAAGAGAGGGAGAGGGAGAATGGAGAGGAGTGAGTGGAGAGGACAGGGAACTCGGTTTCGCACTTAAGCACGGCTGCAAGAAGGCGAAGCGTGGCGAACAAGCACGCAATGGAGGCCACGCTGGCAACGAAGCACTGCAGACGGTCGGCCATGAACATTACTGTTCATCAAATTTCAAAATTTCAATTCTACCACGAAAATACATTTGAAATCCCATTTTCCTCCCATCATATCTCCTAAACCGATCGATTATTTGCTCCACCGATTACACCGTTGTGTAGGGCTACAAGAGTACTCTAACTTTCCTTAAAGGAGTTTTCCCAAATTCAAAATGGTTTGCAAACTAAAATTCGCCAAATATGGGTACATTGAAACCGAAAACGGAAGTTCGTCATTTACACTTAGCCAAATTTCGTGGTTCCAAAAATAGCGGTTCATTGAATCTTGTGAGCTCTGTTTGAATAGGTTATGGACCAAACTAGTTCTTGAGCATCAAACAAATTTGGTTCTATTCGACTTAAACTTCAACTTTTATTTAAGGTGTAACTCCATGCAAGCACTATAAGCAATTGGTCAACGTCGGTCAAAGTAGCATCGCGGTAAAGCTTAAATCTAAGTTTTAGACCGATGGAGGTATTTTCTTGTCCTCCGCTCAACACGAACCCTTCATGACTTTTGTTGTAGATTTCAATTTGAGTCGTTTGGGCAAGGTAGCAAGGTTTGGTTGACGATCTATAATTCCATTCACTTAATAAAGCAATCCAAGAAAGATTATAACTTATCATTCCATGTAACTTTTTGATTCCAAACTTCACGAAACTTTTCCAATCATCCATGTGGGTGGAAATTGATGTGGGGCACATGAAAGAAGTAGATCCAACATTACTCAAGCATACTTTTTGGAAAGGGCAACATGTAAGCAATGGTGCATGGCCCAAGTTTAAGTGGTTGCTCATTTTGTAGATTTGATCTTGAAACTTTCATCACCACTTAACATGTCATGTTTGAGTTTAAACCCATTGCTTAATTGGTGACAAACAACTGGGGTGTTACAATTTCTTTTTTATCATTTTGTCCAAGAGAAAAAGTTCGGGTAATTCTATGGATCCTTCTAGAATGTTTTTCTCTTGAATATCAGTTAAAAAGGTTTCGGATTGCCCGGTATTCCACCAATTCTTAATCCAAAGTTCTAGAAGTTTGTTAAAAGAGAAAGACACTCCCCATGGCAAAAGTATGATAAATACAAGATATAGGAAAGAAGATAATGATTTCTTTTTTTATTTCTCTTCTTTTAACCCTCTTTTTCCCATTAATAACAAAATGGATTATTCTGATATATAAAATATTAATTCCAATGACTTTTGCTACTATATAACTGTCCCAACCATAATTTTTACTCTATTCAGTAATTTTGCATTGAAATAACAAATTCTAAGGATATAAAAATAGTGGGTTCCATTGTTTTTATGGTTCCCTTTTAAACGGCAAGGCCCTGTCTATACACCGGAGGCCTTTCTTTGATTTATTCAATAGGTATTAAGAACTTGTATAGTTCATATTCTTTGGCTCTACCTATCCAAGAAAAAACAGCAACAAATAATTATTAGTTAACTTTAACAAAGTATATGGCCTTATGGCCTTTCACCAACTATATATGTTTGTAGCTGCTCTAACGAATCGTGCATGTTAGAAGACAAATGCACCAATATAATCTACTATACTCGAAAAAACTTAGGCCTGTTTGGAACCTTTTCGAATTGAAATTAATTCTAATAGTCATAATTTAGGCACAGATCAATTAAAGCTAATATAGTTGTACGCGGAATATATTTTTGTACTACAGTTAGCCATAAGATACTTATGTGCTGTATTTCTGCTGAGCCGAAGAGCGTGCTGTAAGTTACAGTGTAGAAATATAGCATGGTGATCTATAAAATAAATTTTCATCCCCCTATGAATTTAAGATAGGCTCGTATCTGAATTTTGGAAAGTTATAGAATATCAAAAATCCAAACCAAATATGAAAGAATCCAGACAGGACCTTATAGAAAAGCTTAAACAAGTTAAGGTTGCATTATGTAGAATGGAATATGTGGATAACACCCATAGCACGATGAAGACAAGCACGCCTCCCAGCTAACATGCACGAAGCTACAAAGGGCCTAGCTTAATTACTGTTGATGGTAACTAAATGCCAAATCCGACCATCGTATTATTCAAGGTATGGAAAGCTCAAAGGATATCATAGGTAGCCTAATCATATAGTAGCATATCAATGTAATAGATAATTATAGCTCATTAATGCATTCACAAAGAGTTAGGGATGCGCATAGTAAGGGGCTTGCCTTGAATGGGTTTGGGTGGCGGCTCGTCGACGATCTCTACCTCCTGGGCCTCCTCCAAAACAACTTCCTCGAAGCCCTCATCACCTAATGAATGCATGGTGCTTGATGAGTACAATACATAAGAGTAAATGACATGATATGATATGCATTGATGTTGTTTGATCAGGGTTTAAGCATATATAACACGTGTGTGTGTAACATAGGGTTAATGTTCTATCGACTAGCATTGATGGATGCTCCGTCAATAGGGTCGGACGCTTGTTGACGGTAATTTCGTCATGGTTTTATATAGTCAAAACCGTCGATAAAGTGTCGCCCTTGGAAGGGAATGAGCATAACATGATTGAATTGTGTTCAAATAACTTGGTTCCACTAGCAAGACGCAAGCTGGTGAGGCTCGATCAGCTTGCAAGATGCAAGCGGTAAGGGCAGACTAGGGAGGACGACAAAGCTAACGATGAAGTTGGATGCCAAACCTTGATCCATCAAGTTGGATGCCTAATTTCTCAATCTATTGACAATAAAGTTGATGACCCTGAGTTAATATCCCTATGGAAAATGTCCATGAACATCTTTACCCTTATAATAGATAGTAATCACAAACTGACCTCGTGCAATGGATATATCGTCGAAGTTATTGTAGGTAATAAACTCCCGGCCAAACATTAATAATGATTTCGCCGGTAGAATTATTTGGGTTAAATCTAATCCATCTAAACCTAAACCTAAACCTGAAGAACCGCTTAATTTAAAATGAGAGATGGGCCCTCTCCTTGCCACAGCAACGTTAATACACTTTCAAAAATAAATTTGATGCCGTAAATATTGATATATATATATTTATTTATTTATAATTGTCTAAAAGTCAAAGAAGTTTAACTTATGATTGAACGGGAACGAGTGGTTTTGATCTTGGAACAGAACGATTGGTGGTCTGTGTGTTTTTCCAAAGACACAGCCACTACCCTACTAGGAAGGAGATCTCTTATGAAATGGACCGAGGGGATGAATGAAACAGACAGTTGCAACACAAATTATTTGCTAGGCGAAATCAAAATCAAAGCGAACCGTTTTTTTATTTTTGGTCTTCTCACCATTTCTTCCTCCTCGGCAAGTACACCATCCTCCAGATTGTAGCTGGCTTCTCCCAGAGGCCCAGACTCGGCCCACGCAGCCACAGGCCTTGTTGAGCCACAACCCCCATAATAAGCCTATAGCCACCTCCTCTACGGGTGGAGCGGTGGCACTGCCAGCGCTCCAATTCCAAAGCTGGCGGTCACCATCAGCAGCAGTTCCACACGCAAACACGGCGAGGCGGTGGCCTCAGGTGTTGGCTATCGAGACGGGCAGACGGCGACATACTCTTGGTGTACCAAACAGCGGCTTCAGGCGGAGGACAGGCATCGGCCTCGCCGGGCCTCTGTAGCGCCCACCATCTGTTCGTTCTTTTGCCTCATGGGGGTAAGGACCCTCTGCCATCAATTCTAATTGCTAATTTTCTCTGAATATAATTGTCAGGTTCTGTGCTCTTTCTGCAATGGTGCAAATAGTAGATTTTATGTTTTGCAACTGCATGCTAGGTTGAGCCTATTGTGGCTCAAACTCATGAATTCAGGCGCAGCACATGCATAGGCTTCAGCGCTCCAATTCCAAAGCTGGTGCTCTTTCTTGAGAAAAAAAAAGAATATGTAGAACGCTAAGATGTTACTGTCCTTTGGGAAATAGTAGCAGATTTATGTACAACCATCTGTAAAGACTCACAGTAGAAAGAATCATGGCTAACAAATTCACGAATTGTACCATTACAGCCTGCTGTGTTGGTAGCAAAAAAAAAAGATGAGCCAATGTAAGAGTAAGATCACCAAGAGTAAGAAACACCTTACCATCATAAGCTGTCCAGTAGGAAAAGAAAGCATTAATAAGAAGGTTACTTTCTGCTATCGACTAACTATCTTTATGTCACTGGTCCCGTCATCACACACGAATTAAAATTTTCTAGTTACCTGGTCTGACTTCCATACTGCTACAACGCTACTATACACAGGACTAAGCATGGTCAAATGGTTAATGATTGGTTTATGGCTCCACGTCATCTCTAGTTAATGTTATCTGTCCTTCCCACAAATTCCATCACCAACTTTGAAAACGCTGATGATTCATCTCTCAGGAGATTGTTCGGAGAATCATACTCAAGTATCCTGCCTGTTGTACAAAATGAAAACAAAGTATTTATTAGATGACTTAGGTTAGTTAAAAATACCATCTCAGAATCTAGAATAAAACTAGAAAAAGAATCTTATGAGTTCTTTCTGAGTCATTTTACCTTCACCAAGTACAAGAACTAGGTCACTGTCAATCACAGTGGGAATTCTATGTGCAATTGTTATGACCGTGCAAGTTTTTGTTTCTTGCCTTATAGTCCTTTGGATAATATTATCAGTCGCAGTATCAACTGATGCTGTAGCTTCATCTAAAACAAGTATTTTTCTTTTCATTAGTAGCACTCTGGCCAAGCAGACAAGTTGCCTTTGCCCCCCACTCCAATTTCCTCCATCTTCAACAACTACAAAATTGAATTGTAGTTATAAAACTGGGATGAAGGGGAAACATAAATGTCAAGGAAGACCTTGATACCTGGTGCATCTAACAGTCTATTGTCTTCTCTAATAATCTCCTCAAGGCAACATTTACTAGCAACCTGTAAGTACTAAAATATTAGAACTGATAAACGAAAATTAAACTAAACCAGCATTTTCAACCACAGTTAAAGTGTTGATAAAGTGCCAAATAGCATACAACATCATAAGGATGCTAAATGCATATTGGCGTACCTCCCATATTTCAGCATCTATATGTTGTTGTAGAGGGTCTAGGTTTGATCTGACAGTGCCTTGGAATAGAGTTGGTTCTTGAGGTATAATGCTTAGTCTAGATCGCAAATCATGTAATCCCAAAAGTGATATATCGACTCCGTCTATGAGTATCTGTCCTGCAGATGGTTCGACAATCCAAAACAAAGCCTGGATGAGAGTAGACTTCCCACTCCCCGTTCGCCCTACCACCCCAATTTTTCTTTCTCCAGGAAATGTGCAGCTTATACCTTTGAGCACCATAGGCATGTCAAGATCGTACTTGATTTGTAGACCATCAAGTTGAATGGTTCCATACCATGGCCATCTTTCCATTGGTCTGTTGTCTTCAACCACTAAAGGAGACTCACTTGGCATGTTTGAGAATTGCATAATTCTCTCTACTGAGATAATCTTGTTCTCAACATCGCATAAGTTCCATATTACCCATGTGTCATGTGTGGACGCACATATGCCAGGCGCGGACGCGCCCACGACGTCCGCCGCGTGGCTGAGCGCGCTGAGCGTGTTGGGCAGGCGCTGCATGGGTTAGCCTCTAGTGGCTAAAGATAGAAATTTAGATTAGTGAGTTGGTTTGGAAATTCCTAGAATCAGGGAGAGCCTTCCCCTTTTCGGTTGGGCCATTGGCCATATATGCTTGTGATCGCTGAACAAATCAATGAAGAAAGAATTATATCCCTAATCTCTCTCTCTCTGTTAAGCCTGCGGTTGAGGGGGATAACCTCACCGGAGAAGACGGCCGACGACTACGAACTGCGTAGCCGTGGTCCGGCCAGTCAGGGGTTCAACGCCCTTGACAACCTGGTATCACGGTCACGTCGGTCCTCTCCCACGCGCTCCACCCATTATTCCATAGCCGCCGCCCACCACCCTAGCCCTCCACCATCGCCGCAGTCCTCCACCGCTTCCGCGCCGCAGCCAGCAGCCATGAGCCATCCCACCATCGCCGATTTGATGGAGATGTTGAAATCCATCACCACGGAGATGACAACCATGAAGGCCGACATGGCGGCTATGAAGGAGAAGTCGGCCTCGTCGTCGGACAGCGGCGCCGGCGGCCGCCCGGAGGGGCCGTGCGATCTTGATCGCCCCCCAAAATTCCAAAAATTGGATTTTCCCCGCTACGACGGCAAGACTGATCCGATGCTCTTCATCAACAAGTGCAAATCCTATTTTCGCCAACAGCGCACCATGGCGGAGGAGCGCGTGTGGATGGCCTCGTACAATTTGGAGGACGTCGCGCAACTCTGGTACCTCCAACTCCAGGAGGACGAGGGCACGCCGCCGTGGTAGCGATTCAAGGAGCTCCTGCACTTGCGGTTCGGGCCTCCCCTCCGTTTGGCTCCGCTGTTCGAGCTTGCCGAGTGCCGGCGTACAGGGACCGTGGAGGAGTACTCCAATCGCTTCCAGGCCCTCCTGCCTCGCGCGGGTCGTCTTGATGAGGCTCAGCGCGTCCAGCTCTTCACCGGCGGACTCCTGCCGCCGCTCAGCCACGCCGTCCGCATCCACAACCCGGAGACGCTCGCGGCCGCCATGAGCCTGGCGCGCCAAGTGGAGTTGATGGAGATCGACCGCCCGGTGCAGCCTCCCCCTCGGGCGCCCCCGCGCGGCCTCCTTCCCGCTCCCGCGCCCCGGCCAGCGCTCCAGGCGCCCCAGCAGCCGCTGGCGCTCCCTGCCCCTCCGGTGGCCGCCCAGCAGGGTCGCGGCGAGGGCAACCAGAGGCGCCTCACCCCGGTCGAGATGGCGGAACGGCGCCGTCTGGGTCTCTGTTTTAATTGCAATGAAAAATATACCCGTGGCCATAACAGGTTTTGCCTGCGCCTCATCTTCCTTGAAGGCGTGGAGCTCGAAGACGCCGCGGACGCAGCTAGCGACGCGGAGAACGACGCCGAGGCGCCCTGTTTTTCCCTGCAGGCCGTGGCTAGGGTTCCCATGGCGGACACCATGCATATCGCCGTGGCAATCGGCGCCGCGTCCCTCGTCGCCCTCCTCGACTCCGGCAGCACGCACAACTTCATCTCGGAGGAGGCGGCGCGGCGCTCCGATCTACCCCTCCGCCAACGCCCCCGCCTCACAGCCTTGGCTCTTCTTCCACCAAGAAGAAAGACTTGGCATTCAAGGCTAGCCAAGAGAAGAAGGGCAAAGCAAGAGTTGAACATGAGAGCTCAAGTGATGATGAAATTGGTGATGCAAGTCTTGCTCTCATGGTGAGAAGAACCACCAAGATGCTTAAGAAGCTCAACAAGAACAGTGTCAAGTTTGATGGCAAGAAGAAGAAATTCTTCACTAGCAATAGAAGGAAGCCAATCTCCGAGATGGATTGCTATAATTGTGGAGAACTTGGTCATCTAGCTCATCAATGCCTCAAGCCCAAGAAAGACAAGTACAAGAAGAAGTACAAGGGCAAGAAAGATGACTCAAGTGATGAAGATGATGATGAGAAGAAGAAAAGCAAGCCATACAAGAAGAAGGATGGCAAGAAGAAGGATTTCCACAAGAAGAAGAAGAATGGCAAGGCATACATCGTTGGTGATTGGCTCACGGATATTGATTCATCAAGTTGCTCATCCGATGATGAAAGTGAGAACGAGAAGGTCGCCGCTATTGTAATTGATTCTTCACTATCTTCACCGACACCACCGCCGTCAACCTCTACACACCTATGCCTTATGGCCAAGGGTGAACGAAAGGTACAAAATGATGATGATAGTAGTGGTGATGATCATGCTACCAATGATGATAGTGATAGTGATGATGAATTTGAGTCACCTTCTTATAATGATCTTGTCAAGTTGCTCAATCAATATACTAAAATCATTAGAAAGGCAAGAGCTAAAAATAAAAAGCTAGAACTTGAGAAGGACTCACTCTTAGCAAAATGTGACATAGCCAAAAAAGCTAGTGTTGAGCTTAGAGAAGAAAATAAAATTATGTCATCCAAACTCAAGGAGCTCAAATCCTCTAAAAAGGAGCTTAAAGAAAAACATGATAAACTTGAGGGGATACATAATGAGCTCACCACTGGCTTATATGCTAAAAGAAGAGTACACAAATCTCAAGGTTAATCATGATAATATTGTTGTCTCTCATGAGTTATTATCCAATGAGCCACATGATGCTACTAACCATGTTCTTAAGATTGATATAGCTACATCATGTGATGACTTAATTGTTGAGAGCATTGAGCAAGGATCTAGTAGCAAAGGCAAGAATGTGGTTGAGACCAACAACTATGATGAGTATGTCAAGATCAAGAATGAGAATGAGAAGCTCAAGAAAGATCTTGAAAAGCTATCAACCACCAACACAATTGTGGTAGAGAACCTTGATCATGATTGTGATATAGCTCTTGAGAATGAGAAGCTCAAATAAGAGAACAAGAGACTCAAGATGGAGAAAAATCATGATCAACTTAGAGAGTAAAACAAGAAGCTTAAGTTGGATAAAGAACATCTCAAGATCGGGTTGAGCAAATTCACAAGAGGCCAATATCTATAAAGTGATCTACTCATGAACACCGTAATGAAGATGGATAGAAGTGGCATTGGGTACTTGGCACATCAAGAGAAGAAAGCTAAAGCTCAACATCAACAACAACACAAGTCAAAGCCTAAGCCAAAGAGATGTGTTGAATGTGGACAAGGAGGTCACTTTGCCCATGAGTGTCAAACTCCACCACCACAACCCTTGCACAAGCATGCTAGATCTTTTACTTTCAATGCTCATTACATGCTTAGAAATGATTCTAGTGGAAAAATGAAAGTCATGTTCTTAGGTCCTCCCAACAAGAATAGGCTTAAGAAAATTTAGGTTGCAAAGTCACTTGTTGAGAAAGTCAAGGGCTAGTAATCATTCAAGATCCATATTAGGTTCCTAGTTCTTTCTTTACCTAGAGCAACTCACACAGAGGGCAAAGGGTAAAATTTATGAAATTTGCATTTTGTGAACTAGGAGTTACCACTCTTTGTTGACAAGATCCTTGGTGATCAATAGGATGGATCACATGCATTTGATGAGCTCTAGAGAGGAAAAATAGCAATGAAAGCCCACTCTTCAATTCTTTTCTCCAACTCATTCAAATCTAGTTCAACTAAAGGATTGGGGCATTCGACAATAAACCGGGAGCACTTGGTTTATAAAGACCAAGACCTCCTAGAATAGCCTTTGGAATACCCAAAGATTCCATTGGAACCATCCAACCTCCTTTGATGTTCTTCTTTCTCCAATGTGTGAGACTACACAACATATATCTGAGAGAAACCCTTAGTCCCACAAGATATAGACTAAGCTCCCCCTCAATTTGTGCATACAAGAGTATACTGAGCACACTTATGCATATCAATAGCATGAGGTCAAGAGAGAAGTTTACACTATACTCCAACTGATTCAAACTCCTTTAACTACTTGTAGTCCAATTAGTTTTAGCTGATTCAAGTTGCTTCGATTGATTTTAAATAATTCCAACTGATTGTAACTCATTTCGCTACTTGTAATCGCTGAAATCAACAAGTTTCAATTTATCTCAGCTACTATTTTCAAAGCTCTGCAACTGATTTCTTCTAGTTCCAACTATTATAACTCATTGTTTGTTACTTGTAGCTTCAAGTCAACTGGTTTCATCTAGTTTCAATTGATTCCCACCATTTTCGAAAGCTCAGAATCGATTTCTTCAAGTTCAAACTAGTTGCAACTACTTGTTGTTGTTTGTCATTTGATTGCAACTCCTTTAGACCAAACTGATGCTTCTCATTTTTACTGATTCTTCATTACCAATCTTGAGAACCAACTTAATCTTGTTGTTTCAATACAATCCAATTTCATACAGTGAGTTTTTAGATTATGTCTTCCTTGGAGAAAAATTCATATCTCTCAGACCACTAGTCCAATATGCATGAAATTTGGCTGAGATGTGCACCCATGAATCCTCTAACTGCTGTAAAAATTTCAACTCATTTAGACTCCATTTCGTCAGTCAAATCAATTTTCTACCAAAACTGCTAAGGTCTGAAACTACAGTGCTGAAGCTGACAGAATTCAACTCAAAACTGACTTTCTTCTAAACCAATCTTCATGCCAACTGTACAGCAACAAGTACTAGATGTGTATAGCATGCTCACAAAGTTTCAGACCAATTCATCGGTATTACTTCCAAATCCATGCTTGAAGGCAGCCAATTCAAAATTTCAATTTTCTAGACAGATTTGATAATTCCCAATTCTTCTCTTCTTCTTGTCCAATCTTGAGGTGAATTTGGTTGAGAATAGTCACAAGATGTTATTTCTATTCAGTTCTCTTATTAATACTTGTAGTCTTGTGAATTCTTCCAATATAGCTTATCCAACTCAACCTCAAACTTGATTTTATCCAAACAGAGAATTTTGTCTTTTTGGCCTCTAGCAACCTCATCTTTCTTTAGGTAAAGACTAACCATGGGCATGTAATTTATTTAGTTAAACAAGCACAACCTTTTCTTCTTGATTTTCTATAAATAAGCTCAACACAAGAGGGCATTAGTAACACAAGCACTAGTTTCTCATTTAGTAACCTTTTATGTGTGGATGACAAATGGGTTACTAAAATAGAGAAACGTCATAACATGGACTAAATCTCCCTTAAACCCTCATGCACATTCTTTTGAGTGGAATGAAAATGTAAATGTTCATGGTTGGTCAATTAAGTCCAAAAAGGTAGATTTAAGCCATATTATGGTGAGTGGCTAAAATAGATGAATCAATTCCAAATTAACTAGAGAGAGAGCACATCACATAGTTTTGGATTGATGATCTTCCTATGATAGCACACTCCATTTGAGAAATACATTCTCATTTAGTGAGACTACACAAATCACTTAGAGAGAAAGATTAGTCTCACAACACTAGTCATAGAGTAAATTTTCTTTTGATAAGTGTTCTAAGTATTTGAATTTCTCACATAGCACTTTATTTACTTAAGAACTTGAGATTTCACTCTACATCTAGGTCATGGTAACAATATAATATTTGAATTG